TAGAGAATCCTAAAGATGCCACCAGAAAACTACTAGAGGTAATCAATGAATTTGGTAACGTTGCAAGATACAAAATTAATGCACAGAAATCTCCTGCATTCCTATACACTAACAATGAAAGATCAGAAAGAGAAATTAAGGAAACAATCCCATTCACTATCGCAAGAAAAAGAATAAAATACCTAGGAATAAACCTACCTAAGGAGATAAAAGACCTGTACTCAGAAAACTATAAGACACTGATGAAAGAAATCAGAGATGATACAAACAAATGGAGAGATATACCATGTTCTTGGATTGGAAGAATATTGTGAAAATGACTATACTACCCAAAGCAATCTACAGATTCAATGCAATCCCTATCAAATTACCAATGGTATTTTTCACAGAACTACAACAGAAAAATCTTAAACTTTGTATGGCGACACAAAAGACCCCAAACAGCCAAAGAAATCTTGAGAAAAAAAATCTGAGCTGGAGGAATCAGGCTCCCCGACTTCAGACTATACTACAAAGCTACAATAATCAAGACAGTGTGGTACTGGCACAAAAACAGAAATACAGATCAATGGAACAGGATAGAAAGCCCAGAGATAAACCCACGTACCTGTGGTGAACTAATCTATGACAAACGAGGCAGTGGTATACAATGGAGAAAAGACAGTCTCTTCAATAAGTGGTGCTTGGAAAACTGGACAGCTACGTGTAAAAGAATGAAATTAGAACACTCCCTAACACCATACACACAAAGAAAACCTCAAAATGGATTAAAGACCTAAATGTAAGACTGGACACTATAAAACTCTTAGAGGAAAACATAGGAAGAACACTCTTTGATATAAATCACAGCAAGATCTTTTTTGACCCACCTCCTAGAATGGAAATAAAAACAAAAATAAACAAATGGGACCTAATGAAACGTAAAAGCTTTTGCACAGCAAAGGAAACTATAAACAAGATGAAAAGACAACCCTCAGAAAGGGAGAAAATATTTGCAAATGAGTCAACGGATAAAGGATTAACCTCCAAAGTATATAAACAGCTCATGCAGCTCAATATCACAACAACAACCCAGTCAAAAAATGGGCAGAAGACCTAAGTAGACACTTCTCCAAAGAAGACATACAGATGGCCAACAAACACATGAAAAAATGCTCAACATCACTAATTATTGGAGAAGAGCAAATCAAAACTACAATGAGGTATCACCTCACACCTGTTAGAATGGGCATCATCAGAAAATCTACAAACAATAAATGCTGGAGAGAGTGTGCAGAAAAGGCAACCCTCTTGCACTGTTGGTGGGAATGTAAATTGATACAGCCACTATGGAGAACACTGTGGAGGTTCCTTAAAAAACTAAAACTAGAATTACTGTATGACCCAGCAATTGCACAACTGGGGATATACCCAGAGAAAACCATAATTCAAAAACACACATGCACCCCAATATTTATTGCAGCACTATTACGATAGCCAGGACATGGAAACAACCAAGATGTCCATCAACAGAGGAATGGATAAAGAAGATGTGGTACATATATACAGTGGACTATTACTCGGCCATACAAAGGAATGAAACTGGGTCATTTGTACAGATGTGGATGGACCTGGAGACTGTCATACAGAGTGAAGTAAGTCAGAAAGAAAAAACCAAATATTGTATATTAACACATATATGTGGAATCTAGAAAAATGGTACAGATGAACCGGTTTGAAGGCAAAAATAGAGACACAGATGTAGAGAAAAAATGTATGGACACCAAGGGGAAAGGGTGGGGGGGAGATGAATTGGGAGACTGGGATTCACATATATACATTAATATGTATAAAATAGGTAACTCATAAGAGCCTGCTGTATAGAAAAATAAATAAAATAAAATTCAAAAATTAAAAAAACCCAAAAACCTGCTGTATAGCACAGGGAACTCCACTTCGCTGTACAGAAGAAACTAAGACAACATTGTAAAACAACTATACTCTAATAAAAAAAAAAGTTATGCTACATATACACAATAGAATACTATTCAGCCATAAAAATGTACGAAATTCTGCCATTTGCAGCAACATGGATGGACCTAGGGAATATTATGCTTAGTGAAATGTCAGAGAGTGAAAGACAAATACTCTATGATATCACTTATATGTGGAATCTAAAATAAAAAAGAGAAACTAGTGTATATGTAAAACAGAGACTGACTCACAGATAAAGCAAAAAAAAAACTAGAGGGTACCAAAGGGGAGAGGAAAGAGGGAGGGGCAAATTAGGAGTATGGGATTAAGAGATACAAACTACTATGCATAAAATAGATAAGCAATAAGGATATATTGTATACACAGGGGATTATAGCCATTATCTTGTAATAAACTTTAATGGAGTATTATCTGTAAAAATACTGAAGCACTATGCTGTACACCTGAAACGAGTATGATACTGTGAATGAATTACACAAATAAATAACAAGGCATAATAAATAAAACAATAAATGAATCCTATTACATGGATCAATTTAATGAAAAACAAACGAATACTAATCATTATGAAATAGATAATTTGAATAGCCCTATATAACTATTAAGGAAATTGAATTCATAATTTAAAATCTCCCCAAAATACAATCTCTAGGCTCAGATAATTTTGGTAGAGAATTCTACCGAACTTTTTTTTTTCCCTTTCTTTTTAGCTTTCCACAGGATCAGTTGAACTGCCAAACATTTAAAGAACCAACTCCAATTCTAGACAATCTCTTCGAGAAGCATAGGATCACTTATGGAGCCAGTAAGAACTTTATACCAAATGCCAGTATTCATTCTATGAAGCCAGTATTGACTTGACACCAAAACCAGACAGTCCAAAAAAGAAAACTACCAACAAATATTTCTCATGAATATAGCTGCAAACTCCTTAGCAAAATACTAATAGAATTTAGCAGCATATAAAGAATTACTATTAACCATGACAAGTAGGGTTCATTCAATACATGCAAGGCTGGTTCAATATTTGAAAATCAATGTAATCTGCCATATTAACAGACTAGAAAATTACTTGATCATATCAATTGATGTAGAAAATGTATTTGACAAAATTCATAACCCATTCATGATTTAAAAAAAAAAAAACTTTCTGAAGCTAGGAATGATTGGGTAGCTTCTTCAACTTGATAAAGAGTATCTACAAGAAATCTACAGTTACCATCATATGTAATGGTGAATGACTGAATGCTTTACCCATAAGACTGGGAACAAGGCAAGGACGTTCACTCTCACCACTGCTACTCAACATAACTCCGTAAGTCCTACGCAGTGAAATAAGGCACAATAGGGATTTAAACATTACAGCTCAGAAAGGAGTGCCTAAAGCTGTCTCTTTTTGCAGATGATGTGATGATTTATGTAGAAAATCCCACAGAATCTACTACAGATGAACTTCTAGAAATAAGTGATTTTAGCAATGTCATAAGATACTAGATCAACTTGCAAAATCAGTTGTATTTCTATTACTAGAAATGAACATGTGGAAACAAAAATACAATACCATTTACAACTGTGTCAAGAATTAAATACATAGGTGCAAATCAAACAAAACAAGTACAGAACTTATAAGCAGATAAGTACAAAACACTGATAAGAAATTTAATATCTAAATAAATAGGTATTCCTTGTTAAGAGATTGGAAATTCAACATAGTCAAATGTCAGTTCTCCCCTAACTGACATACAGGTTTAATGCAATTCCTATCAAAATCTCAGCAAGGTTTTTAATACAATATTCTAAAATTTATGTGGAGAGACAAACAGCAGTAGCTAATACAATTCTGAAAAAGAAGAATAAAGTGGTAAGACTCCCTCTACCCAGTTTTAAGGCTAATTACATAGCTATAGTACTCTACTGTATGATATTGGCAGGGGTTGGGTATAAAGTCAATGCAACAGAACAGAGGATAAAGAAATAGCCCTACACAAGTATGGAAAACGGATTTTTGACAAAGATGTAACTCAGTACAATGGAAGATGGATAGTCTTTTCAACAAATGGTGCTGGAACAATTGAATATCCATAGGCAAAATAATCTACCTAAAAATTACACCATATACAAAATTTAGCTTACAATAGATAATAAGTTGTAAAAGTATAAAACTTTTAGAAGATAAAACAGAAAATATTTCTGACCTAATTGGTGGTGACACATTACACATGACACCAAAAGCATGATCATAAAAGAAATAAGGGGTAAATTAGACTTTATCAAAATATAAAACTTTTGCTCGGCTAAAACCTTGTTAAGCAGATGAAAAGACAGGCTACAGACTGGAAGAAAGTATTTGCATACCTAACCAGAAATCCAACAAATCACAATAACCTAACAGAGAATTCATAAACAGAATATATAATGCGCCCAAAACTCAGCAGTTAAAAACAACAACATTATATTTAGAAAATGGGCAAAAGGCATGAAGAGATATTTCACCAAAGAGAATTCATGGATGGCAAATGAGTACATGAAATGATATTCGGTGTCACCAGCTATTAGCTAAAAGCAAAATTAGAACCACAATGAGAAACCACCACATGCCTATTAGAAAATCCAAAATTGAAAATAGCAACAATACTATAAATTCTGGCAAGGATGTTGAGAAACGGATCTCTTGCATATTCCTGGTGGGAATGTAATATGGTACAGCCACTCTGGGAAAATAGTTTGGCAATTCTTTAAAAAATAAATGGCGGGGGTGGGGAGTAAATTAGGAGTTTGGGATTAACAAATACACACTATATGAAGCAGATAAACAAGGACCTACTGTATAGCACAGGGAACTATATTCAGTATCTTGTACTAACCCATAGTGGAGAGGAATCTGAAAGAGAATATATATATGTACACACACAAACTGAATCACTTTGGTGTACACCTGAAACTAACACAGCACTGTAAATCAACTATACTTCATTTTAAAATACATATATATATATATATATATATATATATATATATAAACTTACCATATAACTCAGCAGTTGTACTCCTGGACATTTATCCCAGAGAAATGAAAGAATTTGCCCACACAGCATTGTGTGCCTGATTGTTCATAGCAGCTTTATCTGTAGTAGCCTAAAATGGAAACAACAAAAATGGTTCTCCATACCATGTAATACTACTTAGCATTAAAAAGGAATAAATTATTGATACATGTAACAATTTAGATAGATCTCAAGAACATTATGTTTAGTTCTGGAAGCCAATCTCAACGGGTCATGTACTACACAATTCCATTTATATAACATCCTTGAAATGATGAAATTATAGAGATGTGAAGCAGATTAATGGTTTCCAGGGATTAGGGATGGTGGGGTGGGGTGCAGGTGTGATTTATAAAGGGGTACAGAAACATCTTTGTGGGGGTGGAATAGTTCTGTATGTTGATTGCAGTGGTGATTACATGAATCTATGCACATGATGAAATGACATAACTATATAAACACATTGTACCAATGTCTAATTCTGGGCTTTGATATTGTACTGTAATTATGTAAGATGTAAGCATTGGTTAAAAACTGGGTGAAGTATAATCAGGACTATCTCTGCACTATCTTGCAACTCCCTGTGTATCTATAATTATTTCAAAGTTTAAAAGTTAAAAAAAAAACTTTCAATAAATGGGCTGAAAAGCAGAATGCACACAGTTGAATTGTGAACTAGGAAGCCAGGGATTAAATTGCTATACAATCCAGAAGAAACCAAAGGTAACAAAGAGATGCAATATATGGAACAAAACGACATAAAAGATAGAAACTGATTTTCCTCTAACCATTTAATATAAGTCCCAGAAGACAATAGAGCTAATTGAGGAGAGATAGTAGTAATCAATGAAAATTACCTCAAAATAAAGAAGGATGTAAGTCCTTAATTTGAGAGAGGCCTACCAAGTTAATAAAATTCTATTTAATAATTATTCTGACATATTTTTCATTTTAACATCTATGAAACTGAAATGCATCTTTATATCAGAGACATGTCATAGTTTAATTCAATGTTTTCTTTCCTTTTCAATGGTACATAAAATAACTGTGGTCCTAAACGTGACTTCTATGAAAAAATTAAGTAAAAAATAAGTACCAGGCTTCCCTGGTGGCGCAGTGGTTGAGAATCCGCCTGCCGATGCAAGGGACACATGTTCGTGTCCCGGTCCGGGAGGATCCCACATGCCGCGGAGCAGCTGGGCCCGTGAGCCATGGCCGCTGAGCCTGCCCGTCCGGAGCCTGTGATCCGCAATGGGAGAGGCCACAACAGTGAGAGGCCCGCGTACCGAGAAAAAAAAAAAGTACCTACATCTAGGCACATTTTAGCAAAATTTCCAAAGAGAAATAAAAAGATAAAATACTGAAAGCTTCAAGAAAGATTTTTAAAGTTCACTTTCATAGGAATAAGAAATCAGTTTGGGACAGAAATCTGTTTGCAGCTGAACTTGGTCCTCTCCCTCTCAGACTGCAGTCAAGGTGTCAGCTGGAGCAGCAGTCATCTCAAGGCTCAAATGGGGAAGGATCTGCTTCAAAACTCACTCATATAGTTGCTGACAGAATTTGGAGTGCGAGCCTTGGTTCCTCACTGGCTGTTGGCCAGAGATCATCCTTAGATCACAGCGTGGAAACTTGCTTCATCAGAGAAAGCAAGAAGAAACAGAGTGTTGTGAGCAAGACAAAGTTACAGACTTTTATAACCTAATCTCAACAGTGAGCTCCCATCACTTTTGCCATATTTTATTCATTAGAAGCAAGTCACTAAATCTAACCCACACTAAAGCAAAGGAGATTACAGAAGGATGTGAATACCTGGAAGCAGGGATCAGTGGGAGCCATTTTAGAAGCATCCTATCTATCGTATCTTATTACTTGCTACTCCATCTCCCATCCCCCCCAGACAATTTTCTCATTTCTGAGCCAGAGAATACTGTTACATGTTAATCCAGAGTCACACATATATCACCTGAAATCAGTACATGCTCTTCAGATACAAAATGGACCCTACTATAGGTTTTCACCTCTCAGGAATTCCCAGCATGGATCTGTAAGCAGGCTCTAAATCATTTCCTTGCCCACCCCTAAAGGCCTCACAAAGCCTGGGATTTCACCACATTCCTTTTTTGTTTTGTTTTCTTTTAGAGAGTTCAGCTTTTTATTGAACATGTAACAAAAGAGGTTTAGTCAAAGAGATCAAAGCCCATGTCAACATCAGACTCCTCAAATTCTTCTTTCTTTGCTTCCACTTTCTCCTCCTCAGCTGGGGCAGAAGTGGTGGAGGGGGGAGGACCTCCTGCTCGTGCAGGATCAGCTGCTGGGGCAGGTCCCTGAGCCCTTATATTGCAGATGAGGCTCCCAATGCCAGAGCCTTTGCAAACAAGCCTGGCCAGAAAGGTTCAACATTTACACCGGCTGCTATAATTAGGGCATTGATCTTATCCTCCATGACCGTAACCTCATCGTTGTGCAGGATGAAGGCCCAGTAGATGCAGGTGAGCTCTGAGATGGAGGCCATGGTGTGGGCGAATGCTAAGCGGGGAATGCTGGGCGCAGTGCTAGCCTCAGGATGAAGTGAGGGCCCTAAGCCTAAAGCGGCCTGCAGCTTCCTCAGAAGGACTGAGCACCTTAGCAGTAGCTGAGGCCAATCAACACTAAGTCCTATTTTATCTACAGACATGGGTCTATGGAAAAGTTCAGAACTTTCCCATGTGCAAATGAAATCATCCTTTATCATCAAATTGCAGAACTGACAAGAGATGGTCAAGTATCTCTCTGAAGGGACTTTGTTTTTGCTTCACCTCTGGTCTAGACAGAAGACTGAGTACCTAGGAGATGCTGTTTTCTCCAGTACACATTTGAACAGTGGTTTGAGAAAATGGGGGCACAGAGGAGGGACCTGGAGTGCATTCCTCCAAAAATAGGAGGAACTGGGGAAGTTTCAGAATAAAAAATTAAAGTCTTCACATAACCTAAAAAATAACAGAATTTAACACTGAAAACCAACTTACATGACCCATGAGTTTAGAATTGCAAGAATTAGACAGTCTTCCTTGGAATTCATCTACTCAAGAATCCTAGAATCCAGGGAAGTCTTATCTGGGAGGAGGAAAAAAATAAGGCAATAAGACCAGATTTGCCATGGAGTTCACAAAATGTCAAGGTTTTTCTCCTCCATTTTTTTCTTCCAAACCACCCTCCCCCCATATATACATTGGGAAAATAAGGTGGAGTCTAGGGACCTCTTTCTGCAAACCCCAGGGAACCCTGATGTAAACAGATGGACTCCTAGCAGATGTTCTCCTGCATTAAAACAGAAGTGTGGGCACTTTAACAGGATTTCCACCAGTACTGCATTCTGGGATGCTGAGTTACACTTGTGACTAGACTGTTCAAACTTGCTCTTCCAGGCCAGAGGAGGGGCCATATCATCCATATAGAACCTCCTTTAAGGTTTCTGGAGCCTGGTTGATCTTCCACATCTGAAGTGAGAAAACTGCACAGACCATGCATTCTTCTAAGCCTACATTACAACTCTCAGATTCTCATGGCTCATCACTCTCATTTAGTTTCCAGACTGGGAAGGATGAAATCATGCCCACTGTATCCAGCCAAAAATGAATAAATTTTTGTCTTTTTTTCTCTTTTAGTCCTAATCATCAGACCCTGCTATGAGATTAAGAACCATCAATTAGCAGGCTTTGTTGAAGGGCCAGGTGTCCATGAGCCACACACATTAATCTACACTAGGGAGACATCAAGAGTCTATTATTAAATGGCCCCATCCTTCTTCCCCTTGATTATTTAAATTGAAGTATAATACACATAAAGTATGTAAAAGACACTGATCTTAAGTATACAGCTTGATTATTTTACGTGTATAGGAGGGTGACTACCACCCAGATTGAGATACAGGGTTTTTCTAACATACAAGTTTCAGTCATGCCCCTTCCCGGTCTATACCACCTGGGTGACCAATATTCTGACTTCTATCATAATTGGTTAGTTTTACCTACTTTTGAACTTCACATAAATGAAATCATACAGTACATACTCTTGTGACTGACTTCTTTCACTCAGCGTGATACCTTTAAGACTCATCTATGTAAATGTACCAGTACTTTTTTTTTTCTTATTGTTTTGTAGTACAATTTTCTTATGCATCCTGCTAGGGCATTTTGGTTGGTAACATTTTTGGGTTAAAATAAACAAAGCTGCTATTAACATCCTTACCCATATAATTTTGTGGATAAATGTAATCATTTCTCTTGAATATATACTTAGAGGTGGCATTGGGACTTCCCTCGTGGTGCAGTGGTTAAGAATCCGCCTGCCAATGCAGGGGACACGGGTTCGATCCCTGGCCTGGGAAGATCCCACATGCTGTGGAGCAACTAAGCCCATGTGCCACAACTACTGAGCCTGTGTGCCACAACTACTGAAGCCCATGTGTCTAGAGCCTATGCTCTGCAACAAGAGAAGTCACCACAATGAGAAGCCCACGCACCACAACGAAGAATAGCCTCCACTCGCCACAACCAGAGGAAGCCAGCGCACAGCAATGAAGACCCAATGCAGCCAAAAATAAATAAATATATAAATTATATAAAAAAAAGAAGTGGCAGTAAGTGTCATAGGATAGTATATCTTTTTCTTGATTTCGTAGAAAAGTTAAAGATACTCTTATAAGAGCTAGTGTATTTATGCTGAATGACTTTTCTTTACCCCTTCGTGTTCCAAGTACATATCTGAACAAATCTATGTTTCCTAAGTATAACTATGTTGGATTACTGGGTAGAAAAGTATGGCTAGAAGTTCCTGAGTAATGAATGTATTGATTAAGTCTCATTGCTGTTTTTCTTCATATCTTCCTGATCTTCTAGCCATAATGTTCTTCAAAAGCTGCTGAAACATCTTATACTAATAATCTCACTTTGCATCTAACATCAGTGTAATAAAAAATGTAAAAGACATAACATCAGTGTAATACAAAATGTAAAAGACATGTAGCTTGCTGCATGAATCCATTCATTTCCAGAGATTCCATGAATTCAAAATAATTTTCAGCTTGCTAGAATGTCTTCCATCTGTATCTTCAGAGGTATATCATCTTAATTTAGTCTAGAGGCGTTTATCACCCCCTACTTTAGATTTATTCCTACAAGGATTACATTTTTCTTGCTCAATTATAAAGATCTGAAGGATAGCAACTACACTTTTAATGCTAATCTTCAAACACTAGCCCGGGGCCTGCCATATTGTTAGCAATTACTAAATACCTGATAGTCATTCAGAAATATAACTTCTAGGAAACTGTCATTGGGAAAGAGTTATAAAATGCACAGTGATACATGCACAAGGATGTATATCAAAGAATGATGTACAATAAGCACAAGTTAGAAACATAAATACCTAATAAAAGATTAAATAAATTATTATCACCAGTAAGGTGATATATTATGCCATCAATAGTGATGGCATATTCCACAGATCTGTTAATTCATCATATTCCTGATGAAGTACTGAGATGGAAGGCATTAAAAAATGCATGACACTGAGAGGTGATATTCAATCATAATTTTTTTTAATGGGCTTTGTCAAACTTCGCAGATGTGAATCTCAGCTATCACAATAACTAACCATGTGCCCTTGGACAATTTAGTTTTGGGGGCCAATTTCATCATCTTACTTTAAAATGGAGATAATAATTTAGGGCTAAGTAAAATACAATGAACAGGTTTTAAACACACACAATTGAAGATGCAGAGGGAGAAAAGGGGCAGAAGAATATTTGAAAAAATATTAGCTGAAAAATGTCCCAAACTAAATCCATCAGGCCATAGTTCAAAAAAGCTGTCAAAAGGCCAAGAAGAATAAATACAAAGAAAACTCTGTTGAAAAACCAAAGAAAAAGGAAATTATAAAAAGTAGTGAATGGGGCTTCCCTGGTGGTGCAGCGGCTAAGAATCCACCTGCCAATGCAGGGGACACGGGTTCAAGCCCTGATCCGGGAAGATCCCACATGCCGTGAAGCAACTAAGCTCCTGCGCCACAACTACTGAGCCTGTACTTTAGAGCCCGTGAGCCACAACTACTGAAGCCCGCGCACCTAGAGCCCATGCTCCGCAA